GAGCGGAGTGTTGGGGAGGTTATAGTGTGCGGGATGTTAGATGTGGTGGGGGGCAGGGCAGTTGCGAGGTCAGAGGAGGGGAGAGTTGGTGGGGTTATGGTGGGAGGGAGGCTAGGTGGGGAGGTAGGTTGAGCATTTGCGATGTCCTTGGGGATTGCATCGATCTTATTTTGGAAGTGATTGGTAATCTCGTGGGGAGGTGAGTGAGGTACTGGGTGGGGGGGGGGGGGCAGAGAGTAGGGAGTTAAAAGTGGAGAAGAGCCGGCGAGGACTGGAGGAGGTGGTGTTGATGAGGGTTACGAAGTAGGCTTGTTTGGCGGCGTGGAGGGAGGAGGTGTAGGTGAGGAAGGCGGATTTGTAGAGAGAACGCTCTATCTTTCAGCTGTGTCTTGATCAGCGTTTGGCTCTCAGCTCTATCAAAGATCAGGTTTCTGTACATTCCATTCTGTTTCAGAAACTGTTGGCCTATTGCTATCTGATTAGGACTCCCATGCAGCTCCCCCATCTGTTGCCTTGTGACTTTGTTGAATCTGATTCTGGTTTACTCTGTGCTTCAGAAACTGCAATTTGAACCCATTAGAGGCATCCCTCTCTGTACTTTTACTCACAAGGTGGTGTTTTTTGTTGTCACACCATCTGCGAGTTGAATGTCTAAACTGACAGTATTATCCTGTAAAGAACCTTTTCTGGTTCTGCGTAGTCACAAGATTGAGGCTTAGGACTTTCTTCTTGCCTAACGTAGTTTCTGCCTTTGACCTCAACCAGGATATTGTTCTAACATCCCTTTGTCCAGCTCCAGTTCAGCAAAAGGAAATTTCCCTCCATTGTCTGAATGTGGTTTGGGCTGTGAGAGTGTAGCTGTCAGCCACTGCTTCTTTCAGGAAGACTGATTCATTTTTGTCATCCTGGATGGACCTCAATATGGTGCTCCTGCTTATCATTTCACTAACACTAGTTGGCTCAGACAGACCATTTTTCAAGCTCATTGTCTCACACTTTTCAATCGAGGCACACACTACTTTATCTGTGAGTGCTTCTTTGACTGTTTCCCAGATTTGCGAGTTGTCCACCTGGGCTTCTATTCACATGTTTCTACCTGCGACAACAACTAGGTCTTAATGGCCCCAATTTTAGTGAGGAAAAAGGGGATTCCTATAGAACCTGAAGCCGGCCTCAGTACTGCAAAATTCAAAAGCCTGCTACAGCGCCCATTTTGCATGAAAAAATGCAGGTAACCACAATGACACATGTTTCATGTTCACACCAGAAGATGGTGTTTCTCTGTATTCAAAAGCAGTGCAGTTTTATACCACGTGTCATGGAAATTTTCTATTACAGGTTGTCCTTTAAATGTGTCATATATTAGTGTTATTAATGTCTCTCGTGTGGCTTAATTAAAGCTCTGAAGGCTGAAATTAGGCCATGCGCATTTACAATGTATATATTACAGTACTCAGCTCGGTAATGGATGAGATGGCAGATCTGCGCTTATAGACCGGTGTGTATGCCACCACGGCATTCGATGCCTGTATCCACATATCAGCAGCATAGTACCACATGGACTTCGTATGGCCAGGCGCCAGGCAGTGCGAACTCCGCGTCTAGGCTCATGTATATCTCTACAAGCCGCTACTGATCTGAACTGTATCTGGATGGATGTGTTTTAATAAAGATCGTATCGGGCCCATTCAGATACAGACTGGCGCTGTTTAATTTAAGGGATGCTTGTACAGACAATGTACATACTGCTGGGAGCTGATAGTATGTAAATAATGTGAAACTCGCTCTCCAAAGCGAGCTTACGGGGGAGGACAGAAAAACTGGTTTAACTGGTTAAGAGGGAACTTTGCACTCCGAGCAGGATGGACAGTCTCGTGTATGGACATTCCCTATATATTGTTCTGTGGGAGGGGATTGACTTGGCCCCCTTGCAGGGGGTGTGTTTTGTAAGATAATAAAAACAGGAGTCTGGTGTTAGACCCAGGCAGAGTGGATTCCAACTTCAACCTGGGAGTATCGTCTGATTTATTCCTGGTATACTGGAGCTCCATTTCCCCACATCTCAAAAGAGCTAAACCTTTGCACACTGGTTGGAGGCGCAGGAATCGTGGAGCTAAGCTGCAGTCGCGGTAAGTGAAGGGCGCAATACGGTTGCAGCGAAGTTCGCACAGCTTTATGGGGAATTTCTGCGCATTCAACTGCGGGCACTCATGGTAAGGAAAATTAATTGAAAGCGAATTTCCAAGACATTTGGCGAGCCAGGTAGGACACGTTTGCATAGTATCGCACAGCAATGCAAAGAAACACATGTAAATGTGTCAAAATTCACTGCAATGCAACACACCTCTCAACCACAACAACAGGTCAGGAAATGCACTGCAGGTGCATTTTTATATTCATTGTAGTGTGAATGGGGCCTTGAATACAAAGAAAAGCATCATAAATTTCTTTACCAGATCTCAAGCTAGAGCAAGAGGGTTAGTAACCTAAAAAGTATTTAGAAATTGGAAAACCTCCTAATGAAATCACAGAATGAATGGCTAATTGAACGTTGAAAGCAACTGTAGGTCAGGGACATTTAACGAATCCCCATCGTAAAATAGCTGTTAAAACATTTTAGTTTACAGCACAAGGCACAGGCCCAGTGTCAATAAATCCATAAGCAGGATATCTTTAGAGCCAGTACATGTTAATTGTCATTGTACCCTTCATTAAAGCGGAACTCACCAAATGATCTGTATTGCATCCTTACAGTGTCCAGCTTGGCATAATGTAAGTGTGCAAATCTTTTACCTGATGGGTCACTGGGGATTCCTCAAAATCACTGTAGTAATCAGTGCTGCTGACACTAGTTACACTGGGCTTATGCTGTGTGCTGTAAACTGGAATATTTTAACAACTCTTTTACAATAGGACTTCATTAAAAGTCTCTGATCTAAAGCTGTTTACAACAGTCAACTAGCCATTTACAATCTGATTTCATTAGGAGGTAAATTCCTGGAGTTCGGCTTTAAGCCAAAGTCTTCTATTGGGATAGGATTATTAAAGGTCTGTCTGATACATAATTCAACAATACACATCTGGATTTTAAATAACACAGCGTTAAATTTCATACAACTTTCATAAATTGTGCTATGACAGAGCTGCTTTAATAACAAGTGTTTACACAAATGTGTGAGAGAATTACATTTCAAACCACATATATCTGTGCTATAAAGCCCAGAGGGCAGATGAGACACATTGCATCTCCTAAGGAAAATAGGCATGCGATTAATATCATATATTTACGATATCTGTACAATTATTTCTATTCAGTTATGTTAGTTGTCAGATTGCAAAACATGGCCAACTGGAAATACTGATACAGTCCTGAAAACTGGTATGGAGGGAGTGTCCACTGAAATATCATAAATACTCCTACATGATGCTTCTCAGCTCAGTGACACCCTCTAGATTAGCATTTCTCAAACTTTTTTTCAATTATGGCACCCTTTAAAAGTAAACAAAATCTTGAGACACCTCAGTCTAAAATGTAAAAAAGGTAAATATTACCATCAATGAGAGGCTCAAGCCCCTCTTACTTCTGGTCATTGGGGAAGTGCCTCCCTTACTACTGTTCAGTGGGCAAGTTCCCCCCTTGCTGCTGGTCAGTGGACAAGTGTCCCCTTGCTGCTGGTCAGTGGACAAGTGTCCCCTTGCTGCTGGTCAGTGGACAAGTGTCCCCTTGCTGCTGGTCAGTGGACAAGTGTCCCCTTGCTGCTGGTCAGTGGACAAGTGTCCCCTTGCTGCTGGTCAGTGGACAAGTGCCCCACCTACTGCTGGTCAGTCCTGTGTTCCTTCTTTTAATGGTAATGAGTGAGAGCTCATGTTACATGAGAAAATTCCCCAACCACTTTGCACAACTGCCTCTGTTCATTTGCTGAAGGCTGGAGAATCTGCATGTGATATTAGGAGGGTCTACCCAGATGAGAGAAGGTCCTAGCAGGACCAGGAGATCAATGTGCAGAATCACACGACAGTGGTGGCATGCAGAACCAGCTCTGGAGTGGAGCAGAACAGCCATGACCATCAGAGGGTGCTTTGCCAGCGGGGAATATGTGGGAGCAGCCATGACATGGCTGACAGCAGCATCCTAATAGGGGAATGGGTAGGTGGGAGGCAGGGTGCTGGCTAGACCAGGCATACTGCATATGTGCACCACAAAAAAACTAAAAATAGACAACCGTGATGATGGCACTATGGTTAAGAAAGACTGCTCTAGACAGTTCACAAAAAGCTGCTTCAATTGTCAGCTGACAGTTCTCAATTTTCCATGAAATTCATGAGAGCCAGGCTACTCTGCAGCAAATTGGTCACAGGGACCAAAACCAAGTAGAATAGTGCAAGTACTTTTTACTTTAATTCCCATTTATTTTGCTATTGTCATTGTCTATTTTGTAATATCTTTTTCTGTAAATATTTTTTCACTGTTTTTTTTTTTCTTGTCTTTCATTAAAATAATATTTAACATAGTTATGCTGATGCAAAAATTAAAAAAAAAAAAACTAAAATGCAAAAAAAAAAAACTAGAGTGTAACTAAAGGCAAATTTTTTTATTGTTATTTTTAGCTTTCGATAGAATGGGTAGGCATTAGAACACTTGGGGTTCTTCTTCAGGAAAGTGAGGCGTTTGCGTTATAGTTTGCCAAGAGATGTGCTTTAAGCAAGGATGGGCTGAATTAAAACTGAATTGGGGTACTGATTGTGTTGGCCAGTTAATGCAATGGAATTATGTTTAGTAGAAAACTAAAACCACTTCTGTGAAAGCAAGCTTCTTTAGTGGCATCATGCCTCTAATTGACATCCACATATGCAGGGTTTGGATCAGCGATCCTGGGTGTGGAATTTCATTTATTTTCAGTATGCCTTAAACAAAGTGGTCTAAACCAAAACAAAAAAAAAATCAGCTTTTATGATATAGGAGCTTCTCGTATTCTGATCTAATTATATTCTCATTACAGGGAAGGTTGGCTGCCGACTTGATCGCCATGAAAATATTGGCCAAGGTCACATTGGTGTAAAAGGGTTCAGACAGGTCATGAATGAACCACGGTTTAATGAAATTCCTATGATCCTCGAGACACCATACACGTGAGTTAATATAAACTGAGTAACTATTTTTATAGCTTTATTTAAAGCCCAACTGTAACAAAAAATATATTTTTTTAGTTTTAAATAGAGTGGAGAAGGGTTAGATTGTGTGTGTGTCACATTTTTATTGTGCTATGCGACTATGTTAGTGAAAGTTCTCCCCAACCATTTTATGGTACTCTCTTCATATTAAGGACACTAGGATAGAGTCAGAGACTGTAATAAAAAGCTGGACTTTTTTGTGCAGTTGAGGTTTCATCTGGCTATTAATAAAATACTTTAGGGAGGGTGGCTATTTGAGTAGGTCCTTTAAAAAAAAAAGTAACTGTACCGATGGGTTAGGGGGCTACATACATTTTCATATATACAGTAAGCATAAAAAAGGGCAAAATGTATTAAAAATATAAACTAGGATGTAAAATGTATTGTGACCATTGTGTAGACTTGCATAGATATAGGAAAATAAATACAGATGTACATGTAAACATATAATATAAAATTGTTTGACAGTACCAATGTGTTAACAAAACATTTTTATCACCAGTTTCTGTTTGGTACCTTATATAGTTGTATAGATTACTGAATATAGGGGATGTTATATAAAGGTTTATGTAGACATCTTAAAAAAACAATGATATAGAAACCGTGTAAGCGAGCTGGTGATTGTCTACCTCTAAGAACATAGAGGCAAAAGTAAAGCCATAATTGTGGTATGTGTGTATCCTAATAGTTTTAGGTGGGTTGATTGGCTCTCCCCTTGGCTAGCTGCAATATGCACTCACTTGCTTTTGTGCTTAAGGGCTTCAGTCCACAAATATCTGGAGTGCTGGCCTGTGCTACTGCCATTTGCTCAGATGACAGGATTAGCAAAAAGTGGTTGTCCCCTTACCCTGTGTCTTAGGTTCAGATTTAGAGCGTACAGTGCCCCTGGGTCACCTAAACTTGAGCATGACTCATATGCTGTTTTTTCCACCTTTCTTTAGAGAAGGTGAATTGTCAGAGGATTCCTTCTCTTGACAAAGGGATTTTGTTGTCAGCCTAATCTCACTGAGACATTGAAATTGGGGGCTACCTCAACCAAAGACTCAGTGACAGTAGTGGGCCAAAATCAAGCTAAGTGTCCTGTTTAGGTTATTTTTATTCTTATCTGCAATTTGATGCCCTCATTGCCTTGGAGTGAAAGAACCAAGATCATTTTTTACCCTCTTGAAACACCTTTCCACTTTCCTGTGGTAGAAGAAAAAATTGGGCCTTCCCATCTTTTGTGGATGTAGCAGTCGCTTACCTCTAAATCATACCTCATCCCTGTAAGGAATTTTCTCCCTTTGTTCATAATCCCATGGAAAAAAACTAGAGTACCTTTACTAGAATGCTTTTTCCCATGAAAGGGTCCATTTCTGACCCATCTTTACCTGCGTCCCCCAAGCTATGATGGCCTAATTAAGACTTTTGTACCAGGAATTTCATTTGTTTGGTAACACAAATTGCTAATCAACCAATCATATGGCAGCAACTCAATGCATTTAGGCATCTAGACATGGTGAAGATGACTTGCTGACATTCAAATTGAGTATTAGAATGGGGAAGAAAGGGAATTTAAGTGACTTTGAACGTGCCATGGTTGTTGGTGCCCAACAAGCTGGTCTGAGTAGTTAAAAAACTGCTGATCTACTGGGATTTTCACTCACAACCATCTCTAGGGTTTACAGAGAATGGCCCCAAAAAGAGAAAATAGCCAGTGAGTGGCAGTTGTATGAATGAAAATTGCCTTGTTAATGTCAGAGGAGAATGGGCAGACTGGTTGCTGTGACATTCAGATGGCAGGGTCAGAATTTTGGCGTAAACAACATGAAAGCATGGATCCATCCTGCCTTGTATCAACAGTTCAGGCTGATGGTTGTGGTGTAATGGTGTGTAGAACTCACCCCCAAATGAGCCGCTGGAATTAACAGGCACTTCTGTCTTTACTTCAGTGATGAACCATATATATATTGGATCCACATCACACTAGTACACCTTGTGGGAAGTTTTATAACAGGTTTAATAAGACAGGTAAAACTCTGCAAATAGACTGCAAATTAATTTGGAAAGTACACAAACCTTCTAGAATTGGCACAATAGCATCAATAAACACAATACAGGTGTACTTCGGTTTACAAAGGCCTCGGTTAACATAATTTTCGGTTTCCGAATGAAAATCCATTAAAAAAATAATGCTTCGGTTTACAAATTTTTTTTGCAATACGAAGTGCATGTCGGTGCCTCACTCGGGTGATGTCCCTGGTTGGCCCCGCCCCTTACCTATTTAAGAACTGTCAAACCACTGGAGCAGGCAGACGGCTGGAAGCCTTCGTCAGAAGCGGAGCCTTTATTTTTAATTCTTTTTTTCGGGTTGGCGGTGGGCATCGTGATTGACATTGGATCTACTGCAGGGGACATTCTTTTAGTTTTTTCTTTTAATAAAGGACTTGTCAAAGACTATGTCCTGTCTTTTTTAACACTGCACTTTTGTTTTTGTGAATGAGTATCTGGACCATGTACCACATACTCATTCACATGGGGGAGGCCGGGATCTGGGGGCCCCCTTGTTAAAGGGGACTTCCAGATTGCGATAAGCCCCCTGCCCGCAGACCCCCACAACCACTGACCAGGGTTCTGGGGAAGAGGCCCTTGTCCCATCAACATGGACAAAGCACCCCCCCATTTTGAGGGCATGTGGCCTGGTATGGTTCAGGGGCACGCTCGGCCCCCCCCTTTTCCTGACTTGGCGCTGCATGCTCGGATAAGGGTCTGGAATGGATTTTTTTGGGGGGACCCCCATGCCATTTGTTTTTTAATTTTGGCGTAGGAGTTGCCGTCAAAATCCATACCTGACCCAAAGGGCTTGGTATGGATGGGAGGGGGGACTCCATGCCGTTTATTTTTTTAATTGCCGACAATTCTTTTCCATTCAGCTGGCAGTGGGGAACCCGGCTGACAGCTGAAACATTAACACATGGTTGTCACTACTAAAATACCGCATGACTTGATAAAACAACTCATGCAGTATTTTAGTAGCGTTTACTTTTTGCTGACCTCGGGAATGGATTAATTGGTTTTCAACGCATTCCTTTAGGAAACAGCGTTTCGGTTTACAAATTTTTCGCTATACAAAAAGTCCCGCAGAACAAATTAAATTCGTAAACCGAGGTATGCCTGTATTAATGTACAGTCAGGTCCATAAATATTGGGACATTGACACAATTCTAAAATTTTTGGCTCTATACACCACCACAATGGATTTGAAATGAAACAAACAAGATGTGCTTTAACTGCAGACTGTCAGCTTTAATTTGAGGGTATTTACATCCAAATCAGGTGAACGGTGTAGGAATTACAACAGTTTGCATATGTGCCTCCCACTTGTTAAGGGACCAAAAGTAATGGGACAATTGGCTTCTCAGCTGTTCCATGGCCAGGTGTGTGTTATTCCCTCATTATCCCATGTACAATGAGCAGATAAAAGGTCCAGAGTTCATTTCAAGTGTGCTATTTGCATTTGGAATCTGTTGCTGTCAACTCTCAAGATGAGATCCAAAGAGCTGTCACCATCAGTGAAAAAAGCCATCATTATGCTGAAAAAACAAAACAAACCCATCAGAGAGATAGCAAAAACATTAGGCGTGGCCAAAACAACTGTTTGGAACATTCTTAAAAAGAAGGAACGCACCGATGAGCTCAGCAACACCAAAAGACCCGGAAGACCACGGAAAACAACTGTGGTGGATGACCGAAGAATTCTTTCCCTGGTGAAGAAAACACCCTTCACAACAGTTGGCCAGATCAAGAACACTCTCCAGGAGGTATGTGTATGTGTGTCAAAGTCAACAATCAAGAGAAGACTTCACCAGAGTGAATACAGAGGGTTCACCACAAGATGTAAACCGTTGGTGAGCCTCAAAAACAGGAAGGCCAGATTAGAGTTTGCCAGACGACATCTAAAAAAGCCTACACAGTTCTGGAACAACATCCTATGGACAGATGAGACCAAGATCAACTTGTACCAGAGTGATGGGAAGAGAAGAGTATGGAGAAGGAAAGGAACTGCTCATGATCCTAAGCATACCACCTCATCAGTGAAGCATGGTGGTGGTAGTGTCATGGCGTGGGCATGTATAGCTGCCATTGGAACTGGTTCTCTTGTATTTATTGATGATGTGACTGCTGACAAAAGCAGCAGGATGAATTCTGAAGTGTTTCGGGCAATATTATCTGCTCATATTCAGCCAAATGCTTCAGAACTCATTGGACGCCGCTTCACAGTGCAGATGGACAATGACCCAAAGCATACTGCAAAAGCAACCAAAGAGTTTTTTAAGGGAAAGAAGTGGAATGTTATACAATGGCCAAGTCAATCACCTGACCTGAATCCGATCTCCCTCTTGTCTGAAGAACCTCAGTCTTGGGCACATGGTCTTCTGGAACAAAAGAGCCCAGCACTTAATTCAGTGAGGGAATTCTTTGAAGCCATGGCTGCCCTCTACGACGATCCCCAGAGGACCTCCACTGCTGAGTCCGCCCTTCATGCTCTACTACAGGGTCGGTGGCCTGTGGAGGACTACATAGTGGAGTTCCGTAAATGGTCTGCAGACACCGGTTGAAACGATGCAGCATTGAAGTAACAGTTCCACCTAGGCCTGTCTGATTCCCTCAAGGACGAGTTCGCTAGGGTGGAAGCTCCCTCCTCCTTGGAGACCCTTATCCTGCTTGCTACTCAGTTGGATCGGCGTCTACAGGAAAGACCTTTGGGCCTACTTGGGTTCTGCCAAAAGTTCCAGGACCAACGGCTCCTGCCCTGCCCTTGCAACACATCAACACTTCAGAGCTAGAACCTTTGCAAATTGGCCTTCTCCGACCTGCCCTAACTCTGGAAGAAAGGCTACGCAGACAACAAGGCAACCTCTGTCTTTACTGTGGGGCCACGGGCCACTTCCTGCATAACTGCCCAGCACGACCAAGTAAGTC